GGGGTTATTCCCAGCGGGCTTATCTCAGCCTCCCAGCTTTATTGGTTGAGTTGGAAATGGGTGACAAAGGTTACTCGCTTCTCAACACACACAAACACGCACGAAAGACCTCTCGACAATATGTGTTTTTACTCACTGCAGCAGCACTATAGCGCTGCGCAGTAAAAAAAACATGATAAATAATAATAACCCCCTGTCAAAATGAAAATTTGAGCAGTCAAAATCTACACAGTTCCACAAATAACTTGGAGATGGAACAATGGCACAGCTCAAGACTCGAGAAATTTCATGAAAACGAAAAACTCAATAAAAACTTCAAATGCCAAGACCCCACAGGCATTCTGAAAATCGACTTTAATAATCCACAAATCTATGACGAAAAAACTGGAAGTGTTGCTACACCAGTAACAAAAACAAACATCTAAATTTCCGTAAAAAGAGGCGCAAAGATACTAATTCGGCCAAGCAAGAAAGCTCAAGCGCCACAAGCACAACCTTAGGAAGTTAACATGATTTTCGAGTGATGGAAAATGTCATTGTTTCTTGCAGATTACTATATTTCGAATGACTCGGAACGACAACAAAATCAAGTTTATATTATATCGGATCGACCAAGGCCGGAAGATAATGATGATGACGACGACGACAATAAAGACAGATACGAACGTACAGTAAAAATGTAAAAAAAAGTTTTGAGTATATTAACATGAATCGGTAATTCCGCGTACTTTTGCAGCTATTGTTTGATATGCAAGATTCTCAAAACGTCAGTTTTGTGACTTGCTCTGTCTTGAATTGACAGCATTTGCTTTATCTCGCATCCGATGTCACAACACTCGAAATGGTGAAGTTTGAAAGGAATGTTTAGGTCATAACATGTTTAAATCAGATTACTTCCAGAGTTCAGTATTTCTTGTTCCTAATTCAGCTAATTTTTAGCATCAACAACAGTGAATTCTGAAAGTACAGTTTAAGAAAGAATGACGCCTGAAAGTCTTGGGGCTTCACGCCTTATATAATGCAGCAGGAAATGTCCGCTGAGTTCGAATAATTTCACCATTTCCGAAATTCAATAATTTAACACACACACACATATATGTATAATATTGTATATTACGATCATCGCAACCTGAACAGTGAAAAATTAGTGTCAAACAAAGTGCTGCAAAAAATGCATGCTAAAAATGTATAATCATATGTATGTGAGTACACAATATTTATTTTACAAGAAGCTCGTAAACCTGAAGTGATAAATGCAGCACAATCCTTGCAGTATTTCCCTTCAAACCATAACAGCCCGAACTATTTCTTAATTTTCAACAATTATTTCAGAATATCGCAAAAAGTATTCTTACAGCCCAAATACAACCAGATGCTAGAAGCCGTTGCGCACAGTAATCAAGTTTGAAACAACACAAATGTCGGATGAGTATGGCAAAACTCCTATACCTCAAAACAGCATAAGCTAATCGCGGTTTATAGGAAAACAATTTTTGATACATATCTAACAACATCAGAAACACACCACAAATACATACATACTGCCAATCCTCCCACAATAAAAAGGCAATTTTCGACCGCAATGTTGTAAAATGCAAGGAATAAAAGCAGTTCAAGGAACTTTGAATAGGCTCGGCATTTCAATATATTTGTGCGTTATTTACTAAAACATCAAAATGTTATTGGCAGTGGCCACACAGTCCAGCCGGAGCCGTCACCATTCCTGGTGATTTGACGCAGTTATTTCCTATGGGCTAAATAATCCTCAGCTTTTCGTAACAAATCTGCCATTTCTTTGTACTGAGCAACAACAATCGCTTCATCGAGCGCGGCCCATTTGATTTTCTGGTGCTCGCCAGATAGCTGAATCGAATTCCCATCTTTTAGTCTTGCCAACCAGTATTTGACCGTCTTCTGAAAGTGTCTGTTCTGACAAACGGTTTTGGCAAGAAGCGAAAAACAACTGGAGCCGCTCTTACAGCTCAGATTTTCTTAAAAAAAAAAATGCTTCTAAATGCAGCAGAAGGGAGTAAGTATTTTTGGCAATTTTCCGCTGCATAGTATTTGTAAAGCCATTTAGACGAATTCCGAAAAAGCAGAGCAGAAAAGACAGTACGATGGCGCTATGAAAAGCGTTTCAGAGGGCTTGGCGTTTGAAACGCTAAACGTTATAAGCTGAACAGAACTATTCGACAGTAATAAGTAAAGCAGAATTATCCCACTTTAAGCAGCGTGCAGCACCGCTTACCATGTGTTTGCTGAAGACAAACGTATTATAACTAAAGATACTAGAAGCAGGAAGTTAGCTTAAATACATTCACAATGAATCTTAACACGCAAAATGAGGCAAACCACGCACCTGCTTGTTAACTTCCGCGCCGTACCTATCACTTTTTTTCACCACATATTTCAAAACCTCGGCAAAATCTTCATGCACATCCAGGCTGTCGGCCGCTATTCCAGCTTCTTCTCGAGTCTCGCGCAATGCTGCTGCCCACTCATCTTCGCCCGGATCCACGTGACCTTAATCAGAAACTAAATTTAAAATATGTGCATGAAGTGCAGTTCCAGCTGAACTTCTAAATATACTTGTGCGGAAGCAACAAAAATTTGACGGCAATCTTTCCCTTACATTTTGTAACAGGCTCGGCTATCCAAAATACTATTACAATTATTATTATTAGCATTAATATGACAATCATCAATTTCAGCATCTTGTCTTGTTTACTTATGTTACTATATCACTACTCCACATTATTGCTATTAATACTGTTTTTTTTTTTTTAATAACTGCTATTACTCCATCTTTATTTCTATCTCTTTTATCTTTACGAAATTTTTTTGTTCGCTGTGGATAGTTCCGTAAAATGCTGGGATTTTTAAACGCAATTATGTCTAGAACATTTACTGGACTCACCAAACGGGGCGCAGTCCAGAACATCTAATTAACTCGCCAAAATTTCAGCGAAGAAAATTACTAATAATACATTCGGCGGATAACATTTCTAGTTTCACCGTAATGAAATGGAACTGCTACGATTACGCTACCTTGTGAAAAAAAAATGTTTTTTTAGCATTTTCAAAAGAAACGAGCACGACCGCTACGGAATCTCGCCTCAGTCAGTAAGATGCCTGATCAAGGAGTCTAGGGTGATGCTCACGACAACTTGAACGACTTGATCCCCCTGCAGGAAGCCTCTACTGGAAGAGCCATCAAGCAGATAATGGTCACAGAAAAAGAAAAGACCGCCAAAAGGCTGAGCACCACGTGTTTTCCCACTGGCCAAAACAGCTGGAAAAACTGTCAGCTGCACAGCTGGTGAATCAGTCTGTGAATTAACAGCTGTTCCGAGGCACGAAAAAATGCTCAGGCCGGCCATGCCTCACCTAACACACCATTAAAACACAACCTTTCGGTGGCGTCCAGTGGTACGGCGGATAAGATGCCTGAAGCAACAAATACTCAAATTTCCCGCCGCTCCGCCGATAGACCAGCATGCCGGCAGCACGCACCACGTCACCCATCCTGCGAGTCGAATACGATGACATCTGCTAGCACGGCGAAAAGCTCGCTCAAACCGAACGAGAGAAACCGAAACACGGCCAAACCTGGCCCACACGCGCCCACCACTTCCCTGAAAGGAGCCCCAGTGAGCCCATTATCGAGCACATACAGCTCTCACTCAG